TCCGCCCAAACTCTCAAACATGGATGGCAAGCAGTACCCGCAAAATCAGTTCTAAAGATTTACCTAGAGATCTCAAATCATTTACAGGCTTAAATCAATTTTACAAAGTTTAAAATAATTTACAAAGATAACATTTATTTATAGAAAGAGTTATAATTCAATTTATTTAACATGTTTTAGGAATCAAGTTACAAGATTCTGAAGTAATTTATAACAGTTAATCAATTTTACGAATACAGAGGTCAAGGTATATTTTCGACAATATTACAAATTACAAGGTTACAATTAATTAGTATCTACAACCAGTCTACTGGTTTGTAATCAATTCACTGAAGCTGAAATTTATGAACATGGGTACGAAGCTTTTACAAGATTCTAAATTAATTTATAACATTACAATCAATTTACGAAAATACAAGTCAGTCACATAGTAATCATGTATCTCAAATCAATGAGAAAGCCACATTGATGTAATGTTTTACGAATCACATTACAAGATTCTAATTATTTTATAACTTACAAATCATTAGAAAATACAATCAAGTCACTAGTCAGCATGTATTACAAAGGCGAATGCATAAAGCTAAAATTATTTACGATGGTTACGAATCAATTGACAAGATTCTAAATTAAGTGTATAACATTTAAAATCATTTCGAAAATACAATCTAAGTTCATAGTAGTCATGTATCTACATTCAATTCATAAAAGGCTACAATTTTGGTTACATGGTTAACGAATCGAAAGTTACAAGATTCGAAAAATTAATTTATGAACATTACAATCATTTACGAAAATAGGTCAGGTCACATAGTAATCATGTATCTACAAATCAATTCATAAAAGTAAAATTTTATTAAACTAACGAAGAATCAGCTGATTGTACTTCCAAACCCAGTACAGCTGGGCCAGATGATTTACGTGGGGGCGGAATAGCCGCTATCAGGAGGAAAGTCAATCAAAAGTTTAGCCAACTGCCAAATGATGAAACTCCCAAAGCTAGTGAACTTTCGAATGAAAGAGCATCCCGCACCCGACGCGCCATTCTACCGTGTGGGGCCTAGGGACGTGGCTATGGAACTGACTTATGGTGTTGCCTATGTGAAAGGGGATTACCACGGCGGCGTGTGGGCCAGATTCAATATGGCGATACGCAACGGGGCCGTGTGGCTTGACTCAATATGGCTAGGAATGAGGACGGGGAGAAGGGAATGCTGGTGGGAAGGGAGGAGGGGAGAAGGGAGAAGCGTGGTGGAGAAAGAGAGGAAGGAGAGCTGGATGGAGAGGGAGTGAAGGGTGAGAAGGAGATAGGTGGGAGGAGGAGGGGAGAAGGGAGGAAGGTGTTGTGAGAAGGAGGCGAGAGGGAGAAGAGATCGAGGGTGGAGGAGGGAGAGCTGGTGAGAAGGAGGAGGGGAGAAGAGATCGAGGTGGGGGAGGAGGGGAGAAGCTGGTGGGAGAAGAGGAGGGGAGAGGGAGAAAGCGGGTGGGAGGAGGGAGAAGCTGTGGAGAGGAGGAGGGAAGAAGCGGGGTGGAGAGGAGGAAAGGAGAAGGAGGTGGGAGAGGGAGGCTGGTGGAGGAGGAGGCGTAGAGGGAGAAGCTCGTGGTGGAGGAGAGCGGCGGAGAGCGTGAGTGGAGAGGGAGGAGGGCGCGGGAGAAGGAGAGAAGGAAAAGCGGTGGGTGGAAGGAGGCGGGGAGAAGCGCGGTGGGAGGGCGAGGGGGAGAGAAGGGAGAAGGTAGTGGGAGGGGGAGCAGAGGGGAGAAGGTGTAGGAGGAGGGGAGAGTGAAGAGGTGGTGCGAGGAGGCGAGAGCGCGAGAAGGTGTGGAAGGAGGGGGAAGAGTGTGTGAGGAGGAGGAGAGAAGGAGGAGAAGGGAGTGGTGGAGGAGGGGGAGAGGGAGAAGAGGATTAGGAGGGGGGCAGAAGGAAGCTGGTGGGAAGAGGAGGGGGAGAAGGAGAAGGGGGGGTGGAGGAGG